CATTGTACTAGGTCAGAGCTGCTCTTTTATCAAGATGAAACCAGAGGTCTTGACATTAAGTCTCTGATGAAGATGAGAGTGTTTTCTAGCCAAGGATGAACAGTGGTAAAAAGAAGCTGCACTGGGTTACCTTTCAGCCATGTCTGAAATCTTGACCTTATTATTACTAGTATTTATTTTTATTTTTTAATTATAAATGCCAGAAATTAGCATATTGTTAGAATAGTTAGAAAGATTATTAATGCACTATTCTAACAATGTACAAATTTTACTCATTGTAGAATAGTTACATTATAGATACCTGATCACCACATCTGCTCATACTGAGTATTAAATCCTAGACTATGGTAGGGTTCCTCTCTTTCTAATTTTTTTAAAACAGGAATGTTTTCATATCTAGGTCTTGAGGAATTGCTCTGTTTGCAAGGGATTTCCTGATACCTGATAGCTCTGCTCTTGATGAAGATGTCTGCTGTTCCTCCTCTGAGACAGTAACATCAGACCATCTGCCAAGAGCAGCTTTATTCCGGGTGCAGTAAAATGTCTGTGTTAGGTTTGAGGATTTCTGAAATGTCCCATCCATTGGGAAAATCTTGTGCTTGCACTTGGGAACATTAATATATGAAAGCCTGTTAGTTAGTGGAAACCTTCTTACCACTTCTGTGATCTGAAGGGAAATGTTCAGAGTGATGGGGACTAGTGGAAGGCCATTTTTGGTCTGCCTTTGTTGCACAAGATGTGATTCACTTCCTTTGGTCATCAGCACACCTTGATTTTTTGAATGCTCTCCTTCCATGGTGGCCTGGGAAACAGTTCTCTCTCCTGCTTCTTCTGATGTTTGATCCTTGGTACTCAAAGTCTTCAGAGTCACTTGTAGTGGGCAGGAGGCAGGTAAAGAAAGTTCTAGGGGACTCTTTGAGACCTATACTGCCAATATGCAAGGGAAGAATCTAATTAATCTAATGACTTTCACTGTTTCTGTGTTTCCAAACCACTCAGCCCTCATATACCTTTGTTCTTAACTGTTTCCTTGTATCTTGCTTCCATGTAGCTCTTCTGATGTCTAGTAGTATAGCCAAGTGAACATGGATATCTTTTCCTCAACAGGGACACTAATTCCTTTTTGCTTTCTCAACTTAATTGCATTTTAAAATGAAATGTCTCTGAGAACTATCCTTCCTTCCCACCCTAAAAAAATTTTCATGTAATTTTCTGCTAGGTTCAAAGGTTATGAAAGGAGTATTATAGGTGACAGTATAGTTGCATCAGTCTTGTATCCTTTGGAAGTTGTGCTAAAAATATGGATGATTCAATTCTTCTATCCCTTTGTAATGTGCCTGATTTCATATAAGAATCTTGAATTCATTGACATAGTCAAGATACAGTGTTGAACTATTCAGCACATGTTGGGAGGAGCAAGAGTAATAGCTATTAAAGCAGCATGTCTTCATAAACATGCTGGTGATACGTGGCATGAATTACACATAAAATGTGAGGCTGAAAATAAATCCACAAGGGCATTTTTCTGAAGATAATGTCTCTCTCAAGTTCTTTACTAATAATATATCAATAATCAACTGACTTATATACATTATCCTGATACTCATGCTGGATTTGAATTCTTGAAAATCAGTTTGAGAACATATCACAAAGAATTATGAAAAAACATTGTTAAAGGGACAACATCATGCCATTGACTAACAAAAATGGACAATTCATGTTCTAATGACAGCCACAGACAAATAAAAGGTTGACCACAGCCACTGGATCAGGTAATCTCTGTCAATATATTTATTAGTGTATTACTTTGTTTTGATTGCTGATCTTTCAAGCTGCAGGTACTTTTAAATCATACCATTCCACTGCTCTTGGGTAGCTAGATGACCAGCAGAGCCTGTAATTTGTGAAGCTGGTTTGGGTTCCATTATTGCTCTCTAAAAAGGGAGAAAAAATAGTGAAGATGCGATAGCAGGTAGCAGCTACAACATATATCGTGGTCAAAACTTAACAGAAATAACAATCTTACTGCTCACCAAGAACATGATTTCACTGTGTCTAAAATATGACTGTAATGTAAAAGAATTCTAATGAAGTGTGAATCAAATCACAGTGTGATTTTCAGAATACTTAAGTATCTGACTCCTGCTTGAAGAGGGAGTACTCCCTATGTCTGCAAACCATATAAATATCAGAAGCCAAAGTTAGGTTAATGTTTTTCAAAGGTTTTTTACTATGCTATACCAGAGGAAACATACTTGATTATGTTTGTGTCATGAGTAATCATCATGGTATTTGCTCTGATGGCTGAATAGCAACATGTTAATGATGTAGTGCAGGAATAAAATTATACTGTTTATGAGATTTATTTTTCTTTAAACAACACCAATTTCACTGGATCAAGGAAAGGCTAACTTGTTACCTTATGTTTAACAAAAGGGCAATAGCGCTGACCTAGGGAATGTCAAGGAGTAGGGAAACACATAGAAATATTTCCCAAAATACTTTCTCATCCTGCAAAAATTGATGCTTCAGAAACTTCTTGAGCAAGCATGATTATCTACATGTTTGACAACTTTCCATTAGTTTGCATAGATGTTTTAAAATGTGTATTTACTTTTGGCATGCCCATTGTGTGAAGGACCAGGCTTCAGTCTGTTTAGAAGCGATCACTTGCTGGTTTATTTAATTTACTCTACTTCTTATACCCATCTTTATAATTTTCCAGCTCTGTGTCATATTCTTCCATCACTTTTCTCTCTTCCACCTGTGGAATAACTTACGGAATAAATAGCTCTGATAGCCTGAAGATGTGGTGCTGTAGGAAGCTGTTCGTGGTTCCTTATGCAGGGCTAGATGGCCCATGAGTGCTGTTGACTCTTGCTGGCTATGTTTTCTTCATGTTGTTTCACAAGTTAGATGTAGCTGAACTCTACTAAAGCTAAGAGCAGGCAGGCATAGAAGAAATGTTCTGATACATATCTTTTGTGCAGGTAGAGGTCAGGCTGCAAGATTTACTGTCAAGTAGTTTCAGTGGGGAAATATTCAACATCATTTCTCTATTTTGCCACCTCTTTTCTTCTTGTGGCCTCCCAAAGTATAAGGAGCTTCTGGCAACATGTTAAGCATAAAACTCAAACACTTCCTCCTGGGCATGAAAACTCTTACTGTCACATCCAATGGCATGTAAGCTTCTTGTTTTCAGCAGGTGAAGAACTTTGGGACTACTTTTCCAGTTTACAGACCATCCTCAAAATCATGTCTGTTTTGTTTTGTTTTGCTTTGTTTGGCTTTGCAGTATTATATTAAATATAATAAATTTAAAAAATCCTGTGACAAAACTATGTACCTAGATATTGTCTTAAAATGTATTTCTCCAAGCTAAAAGTTTCAAAACTGCTGTAACACTAGCTTTGTTGGATTTAAGCATTGTATTTATCAAGCAGGAGAATTCAGTCTCCCGAACTGTCTAAATATTTTTTCTAGAACATGTTTCTCTTTTCCTCTCCCTAAGATGTAAGCTTTTTGATGGGGAGTCTGACTGGAGATTAAATCTGTTTTTATAAGAATTGTATTTTTAAGTCTGTTCTTATACAAAATTCCATTCTAATCTTGAGTTCTGTAATATAACATTACTTGTCAAGGCATTCAAATACAAATTAACCATTCACAAATTTGATACAAGTGGCTGCTCAGCTGTATCAAATCACAGATTTCAATGACACATGTAAATGGACTTACCCATCACTTCTTCAGCTGTGTCTCTGAAGTGCTCAAATACTGGCTGATCATTTATGATCAGCAAATGATATGACCTAAACTGCAATAACACATTTAAAGAGGCTGCTTACCTGTTTTTGAGGAGCATAGCTATTCTTTTTCTTAACAGGGTTGTTTTTCAATGCTTTCTCCCTGGCATCGTCTGCCATCATGTTCTGGTACAGGATTATTACACTGACGAGTTCGAGTTCTTTCTCCATTGATGCAAGTGGACCAGGCACTCCAACAACTCCAGCCTCCATCAGTCACTTCTGCAACTAAGACACCATAGTAGGATTAGTCCATCTACCTCTCTCAAGGTAGATCATGATTCAACTCTTGCATTCTCAGTTACAATGCCTCTGTAGATCATTGCAGCCTCCAGAACACAAACCCTTGCAGAGGTTTAGCTTTTGAAAATGCCTTTGTCAGTGGAAAGGATTGAGACCTGGGCTTTCAACATTTTTGTCGTCCTAGGAATCAAGTTCTAAGGACCATTTTAGGCACTTGTGCTTTAAAAACTTGACCTGTTCAGCCTAGAGAAGAGAAGACTGCGTGAAGACCTCATAGCAAATCAGAAGGGGCTACAAGGGAACCAGAGAGGGACTCTTTGTTAGGAACTGCAATGACAGGAGAAGGAATAATGGTTTCAAACTAAAGGAGCGGAAGTCTAGGTTGGATGTGAGGAAAAAGCTTTTTACTATGAGGGTGGTGAGACACTGGAACAGGTTGCCCGGGGACGTAGTGACTGCCCCGACACTGTCGGTGTTCAAGGCCAGGCTGGATGAGGCCTTTTGCATCCTGATCTAGTGAGGAAGTTGCCCTGCCCATGGCAGGGGGGGTTGGGACTAGATGATCTGTAAGGTCCATTCCAACCTATAAATTCTGTGATTCTATGATTCTAGGATGACCACAGAGAATGAATTACAAATTTTTTACGTTGTCTGTTGTGAAACTGCATTCTCCTTCTTCCCCTTTGTGGACCAATCTATTATTAAGCTAGCACAGTAATTGTGAAATGTGATCATGTGTCAGCAAACACAGTGCTTTTGGAGAAAACTGAAGACAAAATCATTTATGGTGACACTGCTTTTGCCTGAAATCAGTTTACCGTTACTGCACCAAGCTTCAATAATGCTCATGTGTCCTTAAATGAACTTTGTGTTATTGCAAGACACAACAATGTATGTGAGAGAAGTAACTCTAAATTAGAGTACCATCTTTATGAAAAGAACCCAGTAACTTCCACTAACTTCCACATTATACCTGTAAGATTTGACAACAGCAGGTATGAGGGGGTACTATGAAATCCTTCTGTCTTTATGAAGGCTCATTTTATGGGGATATTAATAACAGCAAATATGCTCATTTTAATCTATTTTGAGTATTTACTAACCTTTAATTAATGTAGATTTGGGAATCTGACATGCAATTCCCTTAAAATGGATTGAGCACAAGCATGAACACACTCCATCTACCAGCACAGGGGTGCCTCCATTTTTGCAGGGTTCACATTTGCACACACTGTATTCAGTAATGTAGTCTTCAATTGCTCTTTCCAAATTTTGTTTCTTTAAAAATGCATTTCTCATCTTAACTGGAACAAGTGTGTGTATTGGAGAAGGCTGTAGAAGAAAAAAAGGCCCATGCATAAATGATTTTTCCAAAGTTCTGAATCCTTTTGATATAGCCATCACAAGGGTAAGTATCCAAGGAAACTATAAACATGAAAAAAATACTGAAAGTTCATTATAAACTTGGAGTCTCGTCTCCATCTTAGAACAAAATCTTTGGAACAGTAGGAGTTGTGGCTTTGAAGAAGTTATACTTACCCGTTGCTGTATCACTACTGGAGCATCAACCAAAGACTTAGCCCACTGTACATAATCCTCTACATCAACCACTTTGGATCCTTTTAGTAACATTTCTTTTATTTTGATTGCAAAGTCAATCTGCCCCCCTTCAACCAAGGACACAACATCATCAATGATAGCACCATCATTCTCTTTTGCTGCAGAAAAAAAGGAGATAGGATGAAGAAGAGAGTTTAATGTCCATACATCTGGAAGAACAGTTGTCCTTCTAGTGCAACCAGGCCCTCTTTGTAAAATGATTGTAAAAAGAATCCTTCATTCACTGGTCATGGCAGAATTCAATCTTTCTTTGCTCATATCACTTGTGTGGGAGGAAAACTTCTATTTTGCAATTAAATTAGAATACCCTATATCCGAAAGAAAAAGAAGATGAAGGACAAAGTGAGAGACATTATGGAGTGCATGTCGGCCTAAGGCAACTGGAGGTAAGAAGATCCAAGGGCCAATTGTTGGGTAGACTGCACACCTAAGGCCAGTTACTGGAGACATCCATAGTGTGTGTGTGTGTGAGTGTGTGTGTGTGTGTGTGTGTGTGTCCGTGTCTGTGTCTGTGTTGCTATGCATCAGGTGGTCTGTACCAGAAATGGGAATGGGGCCTTGAGGTCTTGTGTATCTGGGTGCCACAAGCAGGGAAGACTAACGCACCAGTTGCTGGTTCAAGTAAATGTCAACGGTCAGCTGCTGGAAGGCTCTGTATTTGCAACATATGTGTATTTTGAAGGGGCTGAAATACCTCAGACTTGTGCCATCTGGAGAGAACATCTCTAGATGAATCTGCTTGAGCAGGAGAGGTGGCCTCCAGATGACCCTTTCAACCTCAACCATCCTGTGATTCTGTAATAATCCCCACTAAAAGGCTTTCAGCCTGATCAGGTGGAGGAGAGAACAGGATGAGACCATTGGTGCCATTTGTGTTTGCCTGACTTCTGTTGTTTTGCCTGTATTGGTTGTGTGGCCAGCAGTGTGTGTGCCTGCTGGGAACACATGCTCAAGCTCTCTTGACTTGGAAACATGGAAGTATGTCAGCCTCACCTATATAGGTCTGCTGGTTTTGTCTTTTCCCTAAAAGCAACAACTATATTGATTATAAAAGGGGAAACAACTGGTATCATCTTTCCTTAAACAAAAGATATAATGTAAATTAAGGATATACTTACATCCTTCATCTGAATGAAGCTTGCTACATTTATGACCATCAATATCGCCACCAGCTTTTATGCCTTTATACGTAACACCAACATCTAAGTGATAGCCAAGGCATTTTTTCACATCTTCTACAGTTAAACCTGGAAGAAGAAATAGGTGATTAGAGGGATTGAATGACCATAAAAAATGTGATATTATTATTCTTAGAGAATAAATTTCAGGGCTCTTGGAAGTGTTTATGGCTTTCTTCTTCCCATTTATCTTCTACTTTTTCCTCTTCCATGAAATCAATGTGAGGATGACTGTAATTGAAGTGCCTGCACAGATGTAGGTGAGATCTATGGTGGTTAGGACAATACCAAAATCCTCCAAAAATGGATTTCTGTTTTCCTTGATCTAGTTGAAAGCAGAAGTCTCTCTAGGGACCACTCTTTACATTTATAATATTAGAATTTTGTCTTTCACAGCTGCTTAACTTTGGTCTTTTTATGTACTGAATTATTCAATTCTCCCAGTCTCTCCTAACCTCAATCACATTTCTCCACTCCTTTTCCCTATAAAGTTAATCAAGGCCACAAGTCTCTCACAAGTACTCTATTCCCATAAATTCTAATCCTCCTCCATCTACTACTGCCTCCAACATGTCCTTTCTGTTTATTCAACTCAAACATACTATCTACAACTTTACTTTGGTGTTCAGAAAGAATTTTGCTTAAGATTGGTACTTTCAAAAATTCCAATACCACAATCTCCCGTGCCACTTTGCATAGTCTGAACATCTGATAGCAATACTGTTGTTGGTGCTGCATGCAGCAGGTAGTTATTTTCTGATCTCCAAAATCAGCTAGAATTGCCTTTTCTAAGTTTATTCAAGAGTGATCACTTTAATCCAGCACAAAATCACTTATACCTGAACTGCACAAAATGGAGGATTAAATTTCTACTTTCCTATCTTTCCAGGGCATGAAAAATTCCAGTGTGAATAATAAAGGCTATGAAAACAGTTTCAACACATTCAAGTGCACATGTGATTTCTAGGAAGTTCTTCAATTTATGCCTTATTTTTTTTGTCTCCACCATACTCAGAGTGATTGTACTACAAAAGGTGTGAACTACCAAATTGGATAAGGTTTAGGCAGATTTTTTAGGGTTTGCGTATGTCTTGTGAATCATGTCACAGAAATTAGTATTGCTAATATTTTCAATAGATTTGTGTAAGTTTTGGGGTTTCTTTCCTCTCAGTTACAGACTTAAAATCAAGACTTCAAATAATTCTATAAGTTACGAAGGCTGATTCTAATCTCTGTTGAACTCATGTAATTCTGTAATGTCACTGGTGTGCCAGAAAAATCACACACTGAACTGTGCTATTCACAGCAGTGCTCCATATACATGGATCTATTCTCATATATCTCTGCATGACTGGAGACTTGGTGATAATCTGCATACCATAGCAAGGCCATCAGAAAACATACCTAGTTTAGACATAGCATGATTATCCAGCACGTATATAAGTTCGTATTTTCCTCCTACAGTTCCAGAGAGTGCATAGTGAGTTCCGTAATCTTCTAAGAATTTGAAATACTCCCCCTTTTCATATTCATCTGGCAGAGAGTTTAGATCAGCAAGGAAACTATCTGTGAGGCGGACATCACGGCTTCGCATTTGGAATCTTCCCAGCTGAATCTTTCCAGTGACATGCAGAAAAGTTTGGTTCTGAACGAAGAGAAAAGAAAAAAGATGAGACTGCCATTCTGCTATAGAGAAGAGAAGGAAAATCTGTTCTATTTTATTTGTAAAGAAACTGCAGAACTTTTAAACAAGGCATTTAATCTAACATTTTGGAAAAGGAACAAACTTGTTTGATTACAATTAAAAGCTCTCTGATTTAAACAGAATCACCAAGAGACATATCATTTCAAGTCCTTCCAGTTTTGCAGGACTCTTCCCTTACTAATTTCAGCAAGCCGTCTGTGATCTATTTGACTGACAACAGGGTCTTCTCTTTAAGCACAATACCTACTGAAAGTGGCTTTCTGACTTTCATTACATGGAAAAGTGATTCTGTGTAGCTTTCTAGATAAAAGAATATGCCCACTGAGGTCAGATGGAGTTTTGCCTTTACTTATAGTTGGAGCTGAACTAAGTTATCTCTTTTTTTTTTTTAATGACTTTCCTGTTATTCTCAGACTGTCAGAAGGAAGGGCACAGCTCCAATGAAAAATAAAACCCCTGAAAGAATATCATAAAATGAAAATTAATGAGGAAAAAAGATCCTTTTGAAGCATTTGGTGCATATGTACATGTAACTTAGTGACTGATATTTTTGTAGATTACACTCCAGAAGGTTTTATATCATATTCTAAAGCAGGACCTGTCACCTGCCTGTAACTTGTGAAATAAAACCTAGTGAAATACTGACACTTAAGACTCTGAGCAAACACATACCTTACAAACCCCACTGTTGTCTGCAGCACTTATATGATTCCCTTAACAGTGCCCAATAGGAGTTATGTATAAAGTGTTAGCACCTGAACACCACGTAAGACAGCACAATTTAAAAGATCTTAAACTCTTGACAGATACTGATTAAAACAAGCAGAAATATTTGGATGTCTAAATCACTGTGAGGAAATTTTATAGGTGTAATAATCCTGCCAACCAGCATGTACAACATGCTTTACGTTCCAGGCTTTAATTTGCAGGTGAGCCCTGGAGGGTTATCAGCCAGGGACTGCTGCTCCACTACCCTGACTTTACAGTGATAGAACTCCCCTGCTGTCAGATTGTGATTTATTCTCTGATCTGACCTATGAGCAAGA